TCCCTTCCTTCCTCCTTCCCTCCCTCCTTCCTTACTCCCTCCCTCCTTCCCTCCCTCCCTCCTTCCCTTCTTCCCTTCTTTCCTTCCTTCCTTCCTTCCTTCATTCCTTCCTTCCTTCTTTCCTTCCTCCTTGCCTCCCTCCTTCATTCCCTCCTCCCTCCCTCCCCTCTCCCTCCCTTCCTTCCTCCCTCATTTCCTCCCTCTCTCCCTTCCTCCCTCCCTCCCTCCCTTCCTCCCTCCCTTCCTTCCTCCCTTCCTTCCCTCCTTACTTCCTTTTTCTTTTGGTCGGATGTACATAGAAAACACTTAAAAATTTGCTTGTAATTTAAAAATTTCTCGGGATATTTCTGGATTTGAGCATCTCTTGGTTACTTTTACCTGGAACCTGGTAAACTGAGTCCATTTCTCTGTTTCCCCTTTCTGTCCCTTTTTGGAAAGTTTTCTTCAATTATATCTTCAGTTATTGGTTCTCTTTTGATTGTTCTAGATTCTTCTTCAGAAACATAACTCTTAGGCTCAATCTCTATTCCTGGTCTTCCACAGCTATCGTCTTCTTTTTAAAGTACTGTATTTTATTGAATCTAAGCTAGTATTTGTTGTAGGAAGCACTATTATTATAAGTACAACTAAGGAAGAAAAAATGCTGCCAATTAAACTGTGACATAATGCCATGATTACAGTCCTGTGAAATTGGTAAGTTGCTCACACCATTCTCTCTCTTCTTTTGATAGACTTCATCTATTTTGAGGGACTTGGCAGTTGCTCCTGCATTTGGTTGCATTGTTTGGCATGTGACAGGCAATTCTTTTTGCATAAGTCTCAGTTACAAAACATAACACAGCTTCTACTTAAGGATACCTTCCTTTCTTGGGTCCTGTCAAGCACTTAGTTTTTCTTAAAGAAAAAAAAAATAAAAAGAATTGCAGTGGTTGGTCCAATAATAGACATTTGCTTCAGTAATATCAAATTACATCCTGCTGCTTGAATTCCATGCCTTTCTGCATACATAATAACTTCTTGTTTCAATGCCAAACCATAGTGTAATCTTTTAAAAGACATTTTAAATGGCAATTAAACTCACATGTAATTGCAACAATGTATACAACTCAATTAAAGTGCTAATAACATGAACAGCTGAGACCAAGTTCACCCATGCCCAGGTCTTGATGACCTCACCATGGCAGCTCCCTGGCCCGGGGTGATTATAAGATGCCAGTGGTTGCAAGACTTGGCCTGATTTCAGAAGTGTTGATGTGGCAACACAGACATCTTAGAATTAAGGAAATAGTTTTAATTCTTGGTGCTCTTTCTTGGCATTCCGAAAGTGTTCCTCCAGTTTGCCATCTATAACGCTTTCTTAGTTTTCTGCCATGTCCATTCCACTCATTTACTGCTTCCTATGTGACTTTTAATTATGTTTAATAATTTAATTTTCTTGGGAATATTTTTCTCTTATTACAACCAGCTTCCTTTGTATCTTTTCTTGAGTCCATTGGCCAGATTCTCTTTCATAAGCCTGAAGCCCCTAATATTTACCCTGAGATTGTATTCTAGTTAGTAGAATGGGAATGCAGGTGATGTGTGTGACATATAGGACTTCCCCATAAAAGCCTTTAATGAGTTGTCCTCTGTTCTCTTTCCCCCCTTCCAGCTGAGTGCCATGAGAGGACAGTGACAACCTCGGAGGCCTCATGGTGAAGGTGGCAGAACCTTTGTTAGCCTGGGTGCTCAGGGTGGACAGCTGCTCTTGCCAACTGGGAACATCTGCCTCGAGCGCTTTTGTAAGTGACAGATAAGCTTTTATTGTACTTCTGCCAGGATACAAACATTAGATGTATTTGTACAGCAGCTAAAGGTACTCTAATAACACATATTCTGAAATCACCATGTACCCTAAAATATTTTAACAAAATTCTTGCAATATTTGTATGAGAACTGCTGGATTTTGCTTTCTTAACCAATTTGCTGTTGCTACTGGAAAAAGAGAATGAAATGATCTCAAATGAGGTAATAAAATCATTACTGAATTTTAACAGTTCCATCATTTCTGCCAAAAATAAAAAAAAAACAGAAGCAGCTTTAGAGTACCATTCTTCTCCAGTGGGTGTGTGCTGGTCTGATTTGCTCGGACATTTGCAGAGGGAAGAACACTTACAAGTAGTAAGGAGCTGAAGCCTGAGTGGATCATATCTGAATATTGTTTAATATTGTTTTGAATAACATATTTCTAAAAACTCCACTCTTTTAGCTAACTGCTTTCTCTTGATATCCTAAAAGTTTTGCTTCACTGTTCATTTTAAAAGAATCACAATTAGGTCTAACATAAACAAGGGAGCCAGCCCCCCATCACACTTTTGTAAGAACATAAAATGTCATCTCACATGCCAGTCTTTGAAGCTTATCCTGATAGCAGTTTAACTCAGCTTGTTTTCTATATCTATATGTATTTGTGTGTGTGTATATATATATGTGTGTGTGTATATATATGGTTTTCAGTTGCAATTTCATAAGGCCACATTATGTTTTTATATTATAAATGCCAATTTTAAAACATTTTCTTCTGGTTTCTGTAGTAAGTTATCTTCAGAAATGTGCTCTTTTTGTTAGTCTTCCGGGTGATGCTCTGTTTCCCTTATTCTCTTATGGTGAATGCTGTTTTTCCATAGGCTTCATGAGGATTCCCTCTCCTATATCCCCTCTTCCGCCTGGCACATTGTTTACCTTTAAGCAAGTAGAGCTCCTTGGAGCCTTGGTGCTTGCTTGCTAAAAGAGGAAGTGTAGATTGTGCCGATTGTCCTTGGCTTTGCTCACTGCCCTATTCCTAGGTGTGTAGCTGAAGGGCAGTTGTGGTGCACAACTCCCCAGAATTGAAGGGCATTCATCTTGTGCAGCCCTGCTGAACTGGCATAGGATCTCCCCCTACCTCTTCTGCCCATTCTCTAACAACCAGAACTGATGGGGGATGTGAAAATCTTACTCTCCAGCACAAACTACCTTTGTGCTTCCTATAAGGCATGCTGTGTGGAGAAAATGCCTTCCAAAACATGACGTGCCACTGGTAATCCTCTTCCACTTCCTGCTCTGTGGTTTCCCAGTAATTGCATTCTATGAATGGATGTAGATTGAGGGAGAGGTAATAGTTCTCTGGCTCCTGCAAAGAATAGCAGTCATAATAAAGAGCCAGGTTTTCATTTGACTTGGTCCTGGGTCTCTGAACTGGAGGTAGAAAGTAGGAGAGAAAGAAAATGTCTATCATCTTTCAAGACGATGGTGCTCTTCTGTTTTCTAAGAAGCAGCACGGACTGTTTGTCTCAATGCAGCTCAGCTTTAGCAGCTTTATTTAGTTAGTAGGAATTCCTTCTAGATTCTGGTAACAGGTTGTTAGTCTTCATTTTCATTATTGTTGTGACTTTTTGTCATTTTTCTGTATGATAAATAATTTAGGGAGAAGTTTGGAGATCCTTTGTCAGGAACTTCTAGCCAAATGCCATTTTAAACTCTAAGTGGACCTGATTTTATTTTACTTAAAAAAATTAGGTCTGGGAATGAGTTCAGTTTACTTATTCGTCATGTTCTGCTTGCCTTAAACCACTTATGAAGTGTCCATGGGCTCCAAGGTTGCCCTCCAATGCTTTTCTAAATCTCATTGTTGCCTGCACCTTTGGAGGAGGCAGGGTGAGCGAGACCCTTTTTGGTAGCGTGTAGCCATGCCAAGCAGTCATCGGATGATGGGTAATTTCTTTTACCTAGGGTCTCATTCAAGATTCTTTGGTTGTTAATAATAGAAACCAACTACAGCCAGTTGCAGGGGAAGGGAAAAGAGTACACTGTGATACTGGGATATCTTACAAGATCCCAGGACAATTGGGCCTTTTAAGAGGTGGGACCGGGAGCTCTGAAGCTGCTAGGAGCCCATAGTCCTTGTTCCTTCTCTTCCTCTGCATCCTGCAAAAGAAACATTAATTGCAAACAAAGTCCTGTTCAGGGTGTACATGTGACTTTGCTCTTCACGTGCATGCTGTAAAATGGATGCCTCATAGCTCCTGAGTTTTCCTCTTGTTTATCCAAGTAATCAGCTCAGATTGATTGGATGCCTCTAAGTCTTAATTTCAGACTCCCAGGGAGAGAGAGAATTGGATGGGCTTCGGTCATGTGATCACCCTAGTCCAGTCGATATGGATATGTGTCTGTGTATGAGATGGTACAAGCATGACTACTGGCAGTTGTCAGAGAATGGGGCTTATTGTGAGCTGGGCAAGTCCCTGCCACCCTTGGCTTTTGGAATCAAACCCCCTAGACCCAATCCTAAAGTGAGCAGGAGTTCTTGGCCATGCGTTCCTTGGGCAGAGTGGAGCACTCGTCTTCCCGTTATGCTGTGGGGTCTTGGGGGGCGCTCGTGAAGAACTGTTGAGTAATTTATAAGACTGCACACCTGCATCTCCAGCTGACTCCCATTACAGTTTCCTTGGCGTTGTTCCCATTCCCCTCTAATCAGAAAGACTCTTTAATGAGAGATCCACATTTTGCAAACTTTCTTTCTAGCAGAGACATTATTTGGAAACCAAAGCCTTCCTTCAGTTCTAAAGCAGGACCAATCAAAGTGGACATGGCCCTTCTGCCACCATTACTTTTTTCTATGCAGATAGAAATGGAAATAGGTTTTTCATAGATACATGCAATGGCATTCCGCAGAAATTAGCAGTGTAGGGAGAACACTGGCCTAGGGGTCAGAAGTTCGGATTTTGTTCTTGACACTGCCTTTCATGTCAAACTTAAAGACTTTGGGCAATTTTACAAATCAATCCAAACCTCAGTTTTTAAATTAATAAAATAGGGATAATATTTTCTTTGTTTATCATCTTATCAAGTGCTTTAAATATGATCAAATTTCTATAAATAGAAGATATTCTTTATTACATGCCTTTGCATGGACTATTCATCACTTTCTAACAAAATTCCAATGGTTAATAGAGATTTGAGGTTTGACAGCAGCAGGAGAGGTGGGAACATAGAAAGAGTGTTTAAATAATCCTTCTAATCATATAAGGTAAGTTAGAAGCAGAGCTGGGGTGAAGGCTTAAACACAGGTCTTCTCCAGGTCCCCGTTTTTTCCAGCAGACCCTCCTGTCTCAGTTTGCAGTTGGCCCGTCCTGATCTGACATAAAAGAGGAGACTCCATGTTGAGATCCAACCATGGCGCTAGGCCCTGCCCACATGATAAATGTCTGTGCATATGCTGGACAAGACTTTTAGTTAAAAGTGCTGACTGCTTTGTAAATCTGTACGCCTGGGAGATCAGACCTGTTGGCGTTTTCTCCTCTTCCTTCAGTGTGTCACGGGGGTGGAGGGGGAGGTGAGAAGAACTGCAGTAGGCAGGGTCTCAGCAGAAGTGAGGCAGGTCTCGGGGGTGATTTTCTCCTCTGTGCCTTCTGGGGACTTTCTGGGGTGAAATAGGGTTAAATTAAATGACAAAATCTGAAGAAATGAGGCCTCACTTCCTTTGGTTTTGAAGCAGCAGAGGAAATATGACAGGAAAAGCAAAAAGAGTAGGTAGCACTGTTAGAGCACGTTCTAGTTTACAGGGGCGTGGCGTTCATGGGTGCTGGGCCACTGATCTTCACAAGCAACCCCGTGGGCTGGATTTTGTTATTGTCACTGTAATCTGGACAAGGGTCTGGATAACAAGTCCAGCCAAGGTTAAGAACCACTGCTCTCTGCTTTCCCCAAATTCATGGCAGGGGACAAGTTACCTTCTGACCTATTGCTTCTCAAACTTTAATGTGCATAAGAAATACCCGTGGCTGTTGTTAAACATCAGATTCTGAACCGGGAGGTCTGGGAGGGCCTGAGATTCTGCATTTCTCATCAGCGACCAGGTGATGCTGCTGGTCCTGGAACTGCCTTTGAATATCTAGGTAATCTGACCAATATATCTCCCTGATATTGACCGCCTGCAGGGCTGGGTGTCACCTGACCCAGAGTCCCCACCTGTGCTCAGGTGGCCTCTCCCCTTTCCACATGGCCCCCCTGCCTTTCTCCCCATCCTCTTTGTATTAGGGTCCTCCAAGGATTCCATGACAGGCCTCCTGCAAGATGGGGAATGAGAAAAGCTGGTAACTTGGCTTAGTCCAAATCTGAAATCTCAAAACCGGGAAGGAGCAGGCAGGTAAGCCCACACTTGGAGCCACAGCCCCAAGTCTGAGGCTGAAGACCTGAGAGCCCCCTGGCAGGCTGATGGCGCAAGTCCCAGAGTCAGAAGGCCAAAGGACCTGGGGTCTGACGTCCGTCCGAGGGCAGGAGGAGTGAAAGCAAAGCATCCCGTGTGGGAAAGGAGAGAGAGGGGAGGGGGCGGGGGAGAGGAAGCTCAGTAAGCTGAATATGCCGCCGTCCTCTGCCTGCTTTGCTCTGGCCGTGCTGGCAGCCGACTGGATGGTGTCCTCCCCATTGAGGGTGGGTCTTTCTCTCCCAGTCCACTAACTCCCAAGTTCATATCATCCGAAAACACCCCCACAGACACACCCAGAAACAATGCTTCACCAGCCACCTCGGCCTCTCTCAGTCCAGTCAAGTGGACAGCTGGTATTCACACTCACATTCCCCAGCCGCGCTGGTGTGGGACTCCGCCTGTTTGTGTGGTTGCACCCTGAGCCGCGGCGCCTCTTCCCTCCCACCACTGGGTTTGCTCCTGGGGCTTCCGGACTGGGCTTCCTTCCAGCACTGCTTCTGGTGCCAGGGCCGGTGCCTTCCAGTTGCCCCATTTGTTGATGTCAGCCCAGTTCTAAGGTCTGCCAGGGCAGGAGGGAGGCTGTGCTGTGAAGACCAGAAAGTCTGGTGTCTGGGATCAGAAGATTTGAGTCCTGCTGTGCTACTTCCTGGCTGTATGACCTTGAGCAACAGTTACCTGACCTGCCTAAGCCTTAGTCTCCTCACATGTAAAGGGATGAAGGTTGCTGCCTTAGAGGTTTACTGTGAGATTAAATTAGATGATGTAGGTAAGGTGCCCACATCAGAGACTGGCATGCCCAATAAGCAA